ATGTGAATCATAGACTACTGCCTCTGCAGTCACGTGGTATGAACCTAGTTGAACATGTGTGGCTCTCCACCACTGTGGAAACACCAAATGAGGGAACATCTTTTGGATTAATGCTGTTTCATTGCTCCAATAGAGCTCCAAAGAGAAGTGAAGCTGCGTTGGTGACATGTGTTGGCCCACCGCCTTACGAAGACACTTTATGTTGTGTTTTTATTTAATTTGCCACCTGTTTGTAAATGTCTACCTTATCTGCTGTAGTTTGTGAGCTACAAATGTTGGGTGGTGTTCCAACAAGAACAGCAGGCAATTAACTGCTATACAGGGTGTGGTGCTGGTGTACCTTCTATGATTAATTTTTATGATTTCCTTGATTTGCTGTCTGTCCATGAAACACATTTTTGTTTCATTATTAATATATGACATAATTACTCATGTATAATATTAACAGGAAAAATATTTTTAGATATCTAAATACTTTGTTGTGAACCACGGAAAGGGGTTAAAATGTCTGAATACTAGTATTAGGCATCCTAGATTATTTTTTGAATGATACTCAAATAATTTATCCGACATCTTGTTCTATTCTTTTATTTTGCTTTTGCTTTACTTTCTTTGTAATTCCAGGTTTGTGCATGCCATTGCTGTTTGCTCACCAAAGGGAGGTGCTGTGTTCCCAGTAACACAAGATGTGGACAAACTGAATACATGCAGCCCGCTCTATGTTTTAACATGTAATGATGATACAGCGTTACAGCGATTAGCTAAAGCCCAAGATTGTGCTATTTACATTGTGGTTCCTAGAAAGCAATGGCTAAGATGCAGCACTCAAAGTGTTCAGGCAGCATCACACTACAAGCAAACCGATGTAATAAACACCCGTGTCCTCGTCTCACATAGTTTCATTATAACAGTGGGGTGTTAAGCTGACACCAAGTTTCCCTCAAGCCATTATTTGACCTGGAAGTATTGTTAACAAATAGATGTGGACAAACATACAATCTTACTGGGCATACTACCCACGCATTCACATACTTTTATATGTCTAGTCTGAAAAGAACATTTTAGGAATAACAAGAGGTAAGAAGATGACAGAGTTAGGCTCCTATCAGACATGTTCATATCATTCTCTTGATGCTTGCTGTCAAGCGTAGCAGGATGACAATGCTGTTTACCGTGGTTCCTCTGATCACAGATTAGAAAGTCATGATATGAGGGCACTGAGCAGCAGTCTGCACTTTCTTCCTCTTCTTTAATATTGTGTTTGTGCTCATTCTATTCGCCAAGTCTGCAGCGTACCTGGTCATGAGGTCTTAGATGAGACATGGGCTTTCAAAAGCACAACAGAACTTTGCATACAGCATGAATTGAAAACATAATACATCAGAATTTTGGCTCCGTTAGAAACAAAATGATGACAAGACAGCTTACATCATCATGTGTAAAACGTAGGCTTTCTATACACTCTAAAACGTACTACCTACGCTTACTTGAATCACATTAGTGTACTTTACTTGTTTCTCATTGTCCTGTTCATTGAACTCATGGACTGTGAGTATGTACGAATTTTTCCTTAAGGAGTTATAAAACTAAGTACACTTGAGTAAACTGGACTTGAAACGTTCTGTTCCTGGACTGAACACAGGGCTCAGCAGTGAGGAGAAGTTTCCAGAAACTTTACGGGAAGGTTGTGGCTCAGGTGGTAGAGCAGGTCGGTCAATGATCGGAAGGTCGGTGGTTCGATTCCTGTGTCATGGTCGTTGTGTCCTTGGACATGACACTTCACCACCTTGCCTGGTGTGAATGTGAATGAATGGATTGTTTGAGGTGGTGGTCGGAGGGCAGAATAGCAGTCACGTCTCTGACTGTCTGCCCCGGGGCATCCCCACCTGGATGAATGTGTGTGAATGAATAACTGACAGTGTAAAGCGTCCCTGAGGGTCTAGAATAAATCTGATCAATTATTATTTAAGTTTCTAACCTTTGGAAAGATCAAGTTCATTATACTTGCTATTTTTAAGTCCACAAAATTAAGTAAATACAGCTAAATTTTAATTAAACTTTACCAGTAGATATGAAGTAAACTGAATTAAAGACTAATGATTATATTTACTGACCTTTTTGAGTGTTTCCTAGATTCGTTTAAGTAAGATCAACTTTTCACATTTTACAGTGCAAGGATTTTAAACTATATTCACTCATCAGGCACATCATACTACACTCCGGTTTATGTATAATCAGTGGTGTAATGTAACTAAGTACTTTACACACACTTTCAGTGAACTTGAGTGTTTCCATTTTATAGAAGAATAGAATAGAATAGAAAAATATTTTATTTATCCCAGTCTGGGAAATTACTGTGGTACAGCAGCAAGAGAAAAACACCAATCCCAACCGAAAAAGAGCCAAAGTTAAATACTATTTAAAAAATTAAAAATAGAAATAAGTGAATAAAATAAAATAAATAAAACAACTGTACAAAATGTGCAAATTGAAAAAAACAGTGCAAAGGCAGAGGGTTTTACAGATCAGAGAGCTGAGAATGCTCTCTGCCAGACAGAGGTGAAGTGTTGTAAAGGGTTATTGCTCTGGGCAGGAATGATTTCCTGTAACGGTCCTTGTGACAGCGGAGCTGAATCAGTCTGTTTGAGAAGGAGCTCCGCTGCCTGTCCAGAAGGGGGTGGAGAGGGTGGTCGGGGTTATCCAGAATAGATAACAGTTTGTTCAGAGTCCTCCTCTCCACCACCGCTTCCATGGTGTCCGGTTTGCAGCCGATTACGGAGCCAGCCTTCCTGATCAGTTTGTTCAGGCTGTTGGTGTCGCTGGCTCCGATGCTGCCTCCCCAGCAGACTACAGCATATGCCACTTGACCTCCAGTACATTTCAAATGAAAACGTGAAACTTTAACTTCACTGCATTTATTTGGCAGCCGGTTACCAGCTACTTTTCAAAGTCATATTATTAGAACTATAATAGTAAATGATTAATTCAATACTATAAATTAATATATTATGTCGTAATATCATAGATTAACTTACTGGATAGCATACAAATAGTTCAAAACTTTGTTGTAGTGATGTTTCATATAATGCATTAGTAATACATACTATAAAGTGTATATAAGGTCATTCAAGTTCAGCCCTCTCTTGCTCTTTCTCTGTCACACACACACACACACACACACACACACACACACACACACACACGATGAAAATACACAATATATGAAAGATACAGTATGTGTGCAGGCGTCCTCATATTTATTCATACCCTTCCATTAAAGAAAAGGCAAAATTCACAACAGTCACTCAAATAACTAGAAACTGAAAAAAGTAATAATAAATAAAAATTTGCTTAATTAGAATTTAGTGATGTAAAACATTGCTTTGGAATTGCGTTTGAAAAGGATTATTTAAACAAAAAAAAAACAGACAAATAAAATCTAAATTCCTGTCAACAGGTGCAGAAGTCTGATTGACAGTTACAGAAAACATTTGATTGGTTCAAAGGGTTGTTCAACAAAATATTAGTTTATGCGTCCCATCATGCTTGATTGTTTGTTTGTTTGTTTTTTTAATCTTTTTTCTTGTTTTGTTTCGGGGCCACAATTCAAAAGTAAATTCGTGATTTTTATTAAATTTTAATTTTAATTTAATTTAATTTATTTTTTCTTCTTTTATCGGAGGGTATAAATTTCAAGACGACTGTACATTGAGACCCGGTGACAATACATCTGATTCAGTAATACGATACTAAAGTTAGAAGTCTGGAATATCTGGTCTTTATCGCTGCTATTCACACTCACATTGATGCTCTGCAAATAACCTGGACATTAATCACTTCTTTTGTGTGTCAGGTGCATAATACAGGTGTGCTCAGACACTGAACTTTGCACCTTTGCAGTTCAGATAAAGCCACATGTGTTTACTGAGTTGTATTGTGCAGTGTAGTTGCTTGCCGACTCAACATGTAATGGCAAGGGAGAGAGCAAGTGTCTTAACCCTCCTATTACCTTCAGATTTACTGACATCTTTTATCCTTGGGTTCAGTTTGACTCCAGCAATTTAAACCTCCAGAAAATATCAGAATTGAAATTGTTACCCGAGTTTATATGTAAATAGCTCTTTAAATAAAACAGAAAAAAATTGTGTCAGTGGTTTATTTAGAGATGTTAAACAGAGAAATGCATTGTTTAAACTGTGAAAATCACAGTGTGCTGACTTAACCTCTAACACTGCATATTTTGTTCACAGTCTCCTAAATGAAAACTGGTCAGCTGTCACCGCTCGCTGTGCAAGATTCTGTGCACACAAAAGGTTTACAAGTAATACAGAAAGCTGCATTGGCTGTAGGTGTTTCCATTTTGAGTGTAAAACTGCTGAAAATGTGGAATATTAATACAAAGTCTTAGTGGTTGGCACGCACAGACAGAGCTATAAATACATAAATACATAAATAAATACTGAGTCATTGACGTGTCACGTGGCAGGTGTGTTTACCGAAACTTACAGGAGTAGGGGTGGAAAGTTAAGACACTCTGTTCCCTGTCTCTCAATATATGAAAGAAAAAGTAGCTGCACAGGACAGGGCTTTGATGTAGAGAAAATAACTTTAGCCTACTACAAAATGTTATATTTTCTTCACCAAACGAAAAAAGAAAAAAAAAAGAAAGTACAGCAATACAACCCCCTACTCCCCACTCACACCCTACATACCATCCATCCATTATCTATACACCGCTTTATCCCCACTGGGGTCGTGACCCCACATACCTTCTGTCATAATTTGTCATTTTGCCGATTTGCCCATTTACAGAATTTCACCCGGGATGGTAAACAAGAATGCATTCACCTTTTGTGAGTTCGATAAGAGCGAACACCAAATGATGGGAAACACCTGCAGATAAGACCCGAGGTGACTACTGTGGGTGGGGGGCTGAACGTACAATGCACATCTATATTAGAAGAGAAGCAGCAAAGAGACTCTCAGACCACTGACTCAAAATGGAGAAGAAACGCAAAGGAATTTCAGCAGTTGTACTCCTGGCTTTAATACAAGGTAGGCCCTGTTGCTTGTATGGATTTGTAATTACAACATTTTTGTTAAAACTGGAGGTGTCAGTGAGTCTCTTCAGTCAAGTACACAACAGTATGTTTTTCTGTTCCGTAGGTTTTCTGGCCTCCTCTGCTGCCGTTGAGGTCCAGCCCTCCATCAACCCTGCTAAAGTCGGGCAAACAGTGACACTGTCTCTGTCTCCTTCTGCCACTTTGAAAAGTGGCAGTTGGGCAGCAGGAGATTCCCTCATCGTCAACTGGATCGGTGACCAGCAGGCAGTTTTCCCCAGTCACACAGGCAGGGCGTTGGTCAACGTCCTCACCGGGGCTCTCACGCTGAGCTCCGTCACCGTGGCTGACTCGGGAGTCTACGTGGTGCAGAGCAGTGACCCTCAGCTGAGCGCCAGTGCTTCCATCACTGTTCTGGGTGAGACTAAACAGATGAATATTCAAGATTTGGAGTAATAACCGACAGTCTAGAAGAGTTTATTCTTTAAAGATTTCAGTCTGTATGTAAACTGTTCAAATGAGGAGTCATTCAAGGGGAGTGAGGCAAAACCAAAACAGTGTCGCTTAGTCGCTTAGTCAAACCGCTCTCCTGTCTGACATTTACCTTGAGGGGTAATGCTTTGAATAAACTGTAACTGATGTTGAGTAAATACTGAAATCTCCTATGGGGGTGATGAGCAGCAACTATTGAACAGCAACAAACCTGTTTCCTGGTTTCCTTGAATTATTTTCCCCCACTTGAAAATGTAGCTTTTGACAATGTTGTTTTCTTTCTTTCTTTTTTTTAAGTTTACCCTGAATGACCCAAGCAAATAAATTGAGAATATATACACAAAAAAAATCAGTTTTAGTGGCAAATGGACAATGTAATAAATGAAATAACAGTGAGACAGAGAAAACAAGGCAAGATAGTCACACTTATGAAGAGCAAATAAATACACAATGAAGAAAGAGGATGTTACTTAAAGTGTATAAAAGAAAGCAAATGGACGCATAAAAGACACAAGTACAACAAGTACAGCTGCACATGCTAACAGCGAAAGAGGGAGAGCCAAACGTGCTGATGATGTGTTTACACTACCCTTTTAACTGGAACAGGTTTCTGTTGTGGTGAAGAAGGACCTTGGACTGACAACCAGCAAACTCAACAACATCAGCTTGTTCCTTACTGTAATAGTTTACATGTGTTTTGGTTTGTTGCAGTTTTGCTCACATGACCGCGTCCTCTGGTTAGTTTCCGTGTGTGTGTCTGTGTCTGACAACACTCACCTTTGTCTTGTCCTTTTGCTTTTCAGTGTGCTTGATCCTTTAGTTTTACAGAACCCGTTTCTGCTGCGTCATAGCTGTCTGCACCTCTGTTCATCCCACACGACGAAAAAAAATCTAAATCTGTGAGAAATATTCAACACGTTGTAAAATGTACAAGTACAGTTCACACCCATGTAAGGTAGCAATCTAACGCTATTTTCTATTTTCAATATAATATATTTAATACTGTGCTTTAGATTTTTCCTAGATTATTTAGAACCACTTAAAAACAGCTGAGTCATTTCAATAGTGGGTTAGAAAGAGTATGTTATGTTTAGATATTTTCTTTAAAAACAAACATACCTAATATCAAGGGTTGACAAGCTGTATTTGTTTAGGATTTTTTGTTAGGTTTTATATCTGTATAAGACGGAAATAAAAGCACAATTTGAGTTGCTAGGTTGCAGCATTTAACCCTCCAGCCAAGTGCCTCTGCACAATTATTTTGTTCTTCAGGTAGACACTTTAGAAAAAGATGCAGGCCATTTAGACCAAATTATTTTACACACCAGCCATGATACACTATGTTATTTTATGTGGGAGCATCTTTTATTGTTGAATATTTACTTTTGAGTCATAAATGTTATCATGTCAGGGCAGAAATGTGGCACTCTCCAGTTTTACCTTATGTATGGTGTTGCAAAAAATCTGTAAGTGGCCATAATTAATTCACAATATTGTATCTTCTTAGACTGACCATATAACGGTACATACACTCAGTGTTTATTATGTATGCTACAGCTTTAGAAACATTATAGTGTGATCCAACTGCTCTGCTATAGTTCTGTTGGTTGGTTGGTTGGTTGGTTGGTTGGTTGGTTGACTGGCTGGCTGGTTGGCTGGTTGGTTGGTTGGTTGGTTGGTTGGTTGGTTGGTTGGTTGACTGGCTGGCTGGCTGGTTGGTTGGTTGGTTGGCTGGTTGGTACATGAGAGGTCATGCTTAGTTATGATGGTGGTTTTAAAAAATAAAATAAAAGGCAAATGGAAAAACAATTCATCTTTAACAATGACCAAAGTAACAAATATATTACATTTACACATTTCCAACAACATCAGCAAACACATTTTAACCTTTGTAAACAAAGATATGATGATATTGCTGCTTTTATATTTGAATGTGTTGTGTTGCATGAGATTGTACAGGTGTGGCTAATAAAGTGGACAACATTTGCATTAAATGTTCATGACTGAGGCTAAAGCCGAAGCCTCATAGTGTGCTTTGATAAACATTTTGTTGCCTTCACTTGCCTCCCACAGAACCCGTTTCAAATGTGACGCTCAGCGTGAATGAAACCGAGCTGATGGAGTTCAACAGCTCAGCAGTGCTCAGGTGCTCTGTCTCCTCTGGGTCCTCCTTCTCCTTCCTCTGGATGAATGGCAGCTCCGAGGTCACAGCCACCGACAGAGTTCAGCTCACTGATGGAGGAGCCACTCTCACCATAGTGAATGTGACTCGCTACGACCAAGGACCATTCAGGTGTTGTGTGTTCAACCCTGTCAGTAACAGCAGCAGTGATTCAGTCAACTTTACCATCAGCTGTGAGTAGGACAGTGTCAGCGTAACCAGTGTGTGCTGTCCAGAATCACTACAAAGTTCTAATTTGCTCTCATGTTTTGTCTCTTCCCCCCTTCCCAGACGGCCCAGATAACATGGCTCTCACAGTGAATGGACAGAACACAACTTCCTTTTCAGCTGGATCTAACCTGACCGTGCTCTGTTCGTCCCAGTCCAATCCTCCAGCTCAGCTTCAGTGGGCTTTCAGAGGAGAGCTCGTGAATGTAACAGATCCATCGTTGGTGCTGTTGCATGTCAGCGAAAACCAAAGTGGCCCCTACTCCTGTCTGGCCTTTAACAATCGCACCAACATGCACGACAACATCACCGCACACATCGTGATAGCGAGTGAGTTGGTTACTCGTGATAACAGCTTCCATGTTTCTCCAAATGCTCTGTCCTTCATTCTCACTTTGCTTTCTGCGCAGAGTCAGGATCTGAACAACATGCAGTGAATGTGTTTCTCCTTTCTCTGTTACTGGCTGGATTCCTCTTTTCATTGCCAGGTAAGTTGTGCTTTTTCACATACACCCTTCATAAAATATTTTAATTTATAGACTGACATGGTGCATATTTTCCTTAATATCTTTTTTTTCCCCTCAGAGAAGCAAATAGGTGTATATTTCCTTCAAAGTGGTCACATCTCTACAGTCTACTAAAAGATTTTCTTTTTTTTTTTTCTTTTTCTGGTAAACCAGTTCGGTTTAGTGAACTCTTTTTAATAGAATGTTGTCTACATTCATGGTGTAGGAGTTAACAGAATGACTATTCAGTCGTAGTTAAAATTTAACTAAAGGAGAGGGAGAAATATATTTCTTACCACAATGGACACACCGACAGCAGGATTATTAATCACAGTGACTAATAACTTAACTAGCTGCTTCCCTTTTACAGATGTTGGCGACTCTTATGGCTCACAGACGACTTTGATCCAGTGACAAAAGTGGAAGAAATGAAACTTAAAAGCAAACCAGTTTGGAATGTGTTGGCACGGCAAGAAAGAGAACGGAAAACCTACAGTCGGCTTTGTTTATCGTCATTGTGTTGATTCCACTTTTGGGGGATTAAACAAATCAAATGCTTAAACAAATATTTAAATTTATTTTTAAATTAATAATTA